CCTCACGCCCTTCCAGAGACCATGCGTGTCTCCGTCGTAGACACGAAGAAACGGAAACTTTGGAGAGGTGAGGCGCTTGGCCCAAAGAGCACGTCTCAGTGCTGGTGGAGCAGAGACTCCAGAGCCCACGGTTAACCGCAGCTGGGCAGGGCCTCAGCACCCAGACACCCTCTCCTGTGCCCTGCCTGTCTGTCTCCTGGTGGGCATGGGGCAGCACAGGAAGCAGGCTGCAGCGTGTGTGGGGCCATCAGGGTGGAGAGCCCATGGAATGGGGGGAAGGCGGGGTGGAGTGGGGGCGGGCTGGGGGCCAACCCAGCTCAGAGCCAGGCTTTCTTCTCCCCCGCCAGCCGCCCCACCCGGCCGCGCCCCATGCCCACTGCTGCCAGAGCCGAGAGGTTTCCTTTTTCTTTTGCCTAGAGCTGTTTCCTGCCTTGCCTTTGAACTGGGGTGTTGGCTCCCCCACACTCACCCTCCTCCAGCGACCCCCTGGGTCTGCCTTCTGATGGGCCCGTCCCCCCAGGCTCCGCTTTGCAATGAGGCTGGCATAGGACATCCTCAGAGAACCCCGTTTCCTGGAATCCCTCTACCTCTCCCACACCCTTTTCTGCCCTGCCCTGGTCTGAGTGCTGCTTGCTGCCCTTCCCTTACCACCCACTGCCAAGCTCCCAGGGGGAGCTTTCTCTGTCCTGCCCTGGAGCAGGGTGCTCAGAGCGGACGACTTTCTGCCTTCCCTGCTCTCTGGATTTTTAGCCAAAATGGTAGGGCACTGAGGTCCAGAGAAGTTTTAGGACTTACACGGGGTCTCCCAGCGATCGTGGGCAGCCTGAGGATTAGAACTCACAAAACCCAAGTTCCCAGCAAGAGAAGGCAGGCTGGAGTCTTCCAACACTGGCTCCCCTCCCCTCCCATGAAGCTCTAAGACAGTACCAGCCAAGAAAAAAGCAGAGCTATCCTGGGTCCCAGTGCAGCCCATCCTACTCCTGGCTAGCTCTTCTCTGCTCACACCCATCCCACACCTTTCATAGAACACTGCTGCTCTTCTCTTTCCAATGCTAATTTCAGGACTTCCTCCTCCAGGAAGACTTCCAGGACTAAAGCTCTTGGCCCTGGCCATCCTAACCTCAATGCTGGCTAACATTTAGCGAGCTCTTCCTGCAGTGCCGAGCACTATGCCAAGCCCTTTGCAAACATTACCTCAGCGAATGCACACAGCAACCTTCTGTGGGACGTATCAGCTCTGTCTACAGACGGGGACATCAGATCCCAGGGGAGGCAGTCAGTGGGCCCTGGGAGGAGACGAGGACACAGCTAGGAGGTGAGGACTCAAGTCATGCTCTGTGGGCACCACTGCCGCTGCTGGCCGCCCCACTTCTCTCCCTCCAGCCTCCTGACTCCATCTTTCAGAAGATGGAGTCAGACATCCCGGGCAGTGATGTGGAGGCTGCGTATTACCTTGAATATGTGTGCGCATGCACGCACGCACGCACACACACACACACACCCCATCCGAACAGTCTGACATGGAGTTGTATGGAGTGGCGGCCCCTCCTTCAGCCCTGGCAGCAGTAGGTGATAGAAAGGGGTACTCGGGGGTGCGTGTAAGTGTAGGGACCTCAAGTCTTTTATGACCCGCTGTTTATGACACCTTTTCTCCCATTGTCTGTTTTCTGACGCTGCTCAGCTCGGAGGATGAAAGGAGGACTCAGAGTAGCTAGGAGACGCTGCCACGCAGAGACCACTCTGGGCGTGTCCCTTGCTCACACGGATATGTGCTGGCATAGAGCTAGAGGCTTCTGCCTTCCTGTCACCACCAGGCCGCGGTGCCCCGGGGCCCGCACCACCTCCTGCTAGGTCTGTTCCCCGAGCAGACCCTACACATGAGACTGTGCAAACCCACTGGGTCTCAGAGACCCTCACCAAGAAGACAGCTGAGAAGAGACTTCTTAGGAAAGAGAGACACTTGCAGTATTGTATTTGCAGTCTGTCCTCCCAGCCTCCGTCAAACAGGGCTGGCATCAGACCCCAAAGTAGTCGTCAAAGCAAAGGATACCAGTTGTCTACAAAGACGTTCCGGCCTTCTCTAGCACCAGCGTGGAGGTGTCTGTCATGAACAGTGTCAGCTGGAAGGAGGGAATCTCACCACCCTGGGGAGCAGTGAATTTTACTGCTGTGGGGTCACAGACTGTGGAGGAGGCCACGGGGATCTTCTGGAGCTTCTCACAGCTCCATCTCTGGCTCCTTCTCAGGCTCTTGGACTGCTCTCTAGCCTGCCACATGCTGCACATCCCAGGGTTTGAATCTCTCTTCTCTCTTGACCCTCTCTGCAGAGGACCTAAGCACCAACCTTCCCCTCAATCCCCAGTGCTCATCTACTGGTTGGACCCAAGCCCCCAGGACCAGCCAAGCACTGAAGAGAAGAGCAGCCCATGGCCAATCCCCATGTGCCTCCCTTCATCCTCCACAGCCATTCCCCTGAGTGCCACGGTCAGCCACTGATTCTGTCTCCCCGACGGCCATTCCCCTGAGTCCCACGGTCAGCCACTGGCTCCATCTCCCTGATGGCCATTCCCCTGAGTGCCACGGTCAGCCACTGATTCTGTCTCCCTGATGGCCATTCCCCTGAGTGTCACGGTCAGCCACTGGCTCCATCTCCCCGACGGCCATTCCCCTGAGTTCCATAGTCAGCCACTGGCTCTGTCTCCCCGACGGCCATTCCCCTGAGTGCCACGGTCAGCCACTGGCTCTGTCTCCCCGATGACCATTCCCCTGAGTTCTATGGTCAGCTACTGGGCTCTGTCGCTCCAGCAGGGAGGCCTGATAGCTCACCTCCACCTCCGTGAATACTCAACAGGAGTCTCAGTAATAACGGCACCACGTATGTGTCCCTCCCCAGGTGTCAGCACTGCGCCAGGATCTTTATACAGACACATTATCTAATTTAATCCTCCCAGAGACCCACTCCTCTCCTCGCACACATGCTGAGCCTGAGGCTAGGTGGTGCTCAAGCTAGCAAGCTCCAGGTGGCCTGAACAGAGAGGCAGTGCCCTCTGCAAGCACCAGCTCCGCGGGGCAAGGCCAGAGGGGTGTTGCTCAGCACCGACTCTCAGTGACCACCCACGCCCCACCTGCACTGCCTTTGAGACTGGGCTGCTTTCCTGGGAAGGTGAAGAAAGAGGTTCCTCTTGGCCACCCTCAGGACAGCTGGAAGCCTGTTGTACACCATCCAAACAGGACCCTCCACACCCAAGGCAGGGGACAGGTCCTCTCACCTCCCTCCAATATTCCAGACCCTCTGCCAGATTTCTCCATTGCCTCAGGATCCACACTCCTCCCTTCTCCCGCTCTCAGCTGCAGACGTGGGGCATTGGGAGAGAGGGGTTTTCTCAGTCCCCAGGGCACACAGGATCGCTCCTAAGATCCCACCTCCACTGGACCCACACACAGACTCCCAGCTCCGGGAAACAGTAGTAAGGCTGTGGCAAAACTTTCCATCTGCATGGGTAGTGGGGCGCTTGGGTTCCCAAAATGCCACTGCACCTCCTCCCCCAAATTCTCCCAGGAAAATAATCATCGCCCTTAGGGAAGACTTGGGTGCTGGGAAAGGAGGCTGGACTGGTGCCCCTCTGGAAGACACAGTTTCTCTGCCCCTTCAACACAGGCAGGCGCCCTTCCTTCAGCCCCACTCTGCCCTTGCAGAGAAACGCTCCATCCCCCGTGCAGGCTCTTTCTAGTCACAGGATCTTGACTTCAAACGAAGCAATGCCTTATCTCCCCAGTGCACAAGGGGCTGCCCTGGGCATAGCAGGGTACCCTCAGAGCACCACAGGGCTCGGCTCAGCTGCTGCCTGTGTTTGCCTCTCCACTACCCCCTGGGCTGAGAAGGACTCCCAGCACCTGGCATCATTTTTTTCCTATTCCCTCCACCGTCCACAGCCTTTTGGAGTGGAAGGGGACAGAGGCAGGTGAGTGCTCCATGCTGAGTTGTGATTCAAGACCCTCCACATCCCAGTGCACGGCCAGCACTGAGCACCCTGACCCCATAGCACAGTGCCCTCTTCCTCACAGCTCCCAAGTCCTGAACCCCAAAACCTGGAGGGGCCTCTCTCCAGCCAGAAGGAGCTCTGGGATCGCACCACTGGGTGGATGTCCCCAGACTTCCCCACCTGCTCTTCCTCCTTGGAGCGAAGGTGATGGAGCCTGGGCAGGGCAAGGCTGGGGCAGGTTTCCTTTCTCCAGAGCAGCGTGGGGTGGGGGCAGGTGGTCTAGAATGTGCCCAGGGGCTGAGCAGCCAGAGCCTCGGGCTCCCACGGGAAGCTCCTCTCTAAGCCATCCCTAGGATAGCCAACCAACAGGGTCCCCTTCACACGCCATCTCACCCCAACTCAGACTCTAAAAATGGTTCTCTGGTTTTCAGCCTCGGTGGCTGCCCACAAATTAGTCTCCACACAGCCTCCTGGGACACGACTTCAGGGAGGCCCCTGGGGAAGCCAGGAGGCCCCAGCAAAGGGAGATGGTGCTGGCAGCTCCCCTTTCTGAGGAGACAGAGGGACAGGGACCCTCTCCCAGCTTCTGGGACCCCCCCCAGGCTACCCCGCCCCAGTGTGGCAGCTAGCTGTGGCAGAGGGACAGACATCGCTCCTGCTCCACTGGGCACCCCTGGTAAGGAGTGCTCACCCCCACCACCACCTCGGTCAGCTCTGGCCGGCCCAGTGCCTTGGGTTCTACTGGAGAAGCAGCAGAGGATGGGCAGCCAGCCGTGCCCCCCTGAGTCTGGAACCCTTGTGCCAAGCTTGGGCTCCACCATGAGCCAAGCAAGGGAAGCCCAGGCTGACCGCTGGCCCAATCTTCAGTCCCAGGCTCTCCCTTCCCAGTCGCGGGGCAGCCGTCCGAAGGGGAAGAGCCCTTCCCAGGTCCCAGGTCCCAGGAACCTAGCTGGCAGGTGCCCCGATGGGGGCCAGGGCAGCTAGCAGGAACGAGAGGGGCGCGGGGCGAGTACTTACAGGTAAGCCGTCAAGGGGTCCAGGTCCCCTGGCACTGCGGAGAGCCCGAGCTCGGAGCAATCGGCCGACAGCATGATGCCGTCCTCCTGGCAGTGGCAGGGGGCTGGGCAGGCGGCGGGGACCGCTCGGGGCTGGAGGACGCCGCCGGCGCACGGGG